TAAAATAAACTTCTTTCTATTATAATTCTATAATAAATTAATATTAAACAATATTTTGAAATACTAAAGAAATATCTTACTATTTTTAAGTGTTTATAATTTTCTTAATTAAAATAGTGTAATATAAATAAAAAAATTATTTGATGATATTATTATTAAATTTTAATTTTAATAATATAAAAAACATTAAATGTTTTATAAAGCCGTGGGATATGAAATATAGTTTTATTTTAAGATTTTTTTTAACAAATGTTACATGGTTTGGATTTGAGACAAGATAGATAAGCCAAAAATACCGTCGTTCAATGTCATGCCAAGAAGAGAAAATCCAACATTCAACTTGTTTCCTTGAAGTGAGCTGATTAACACTAATTAATTCAATTTAATTAAGCGATACTAACTTCATTATCTTCTATGTCGGAGCCTACAATGGACATGACGGAGCTAATTAACGAGCCAACTGCAGTCAAAAAATAATTGGAATGTTCAACGCATTTATGCGTGCTGTCGGGTACACGTTCTGCTCTACCTTTCTACCATAGCCCACAGTAATTAAAAAACAATTTTACTGGTAACACATTTCAAATTTCAAAATCATCACCTTGACCAAATGTATAAATACATATCGAACAAGTAAAGAGTATTAACTTCAGTATTTAAAATTAAATTTAATCAATTACTAATAATAAATTTTATTAAAAATATATTTATTATATTTTTATTTTTTAATATCATCATTTTTTTCAATCAAAATTTTTATTTCTAATGTTTTTCAGATGTTATTTTTTTAATTATTTTTTGAGAATTTAAAACTAACTCAAAAATTGATATTAAAAAAATCGTAAATAAATAAATACAATTAAGATGGTATCTTCCTTTATCATCTTAAATTTACTTTTAATAAAATGTTGATATTTAATAAAAAAATCTTTCTTTATCATCATTATTTCATCAAAATATTATTTATATACTAAATATATTGCTTTTGAATTTAATAAAAATATATTTATAGTGTATTTTTTTATACTTTATCCTTTAGTTATTAATTTTTATATTAATAAAAATTATTAATTTTATAATAATTATCATGCATTCTAATTAATTGATAGTATAAAATATTTACAATAAAAATGCATCAAAATTAATATCAAATTTCATAAAATGTAAATATATGTAAGTATGTTATCCTAATTTAATAATTTTTTATGTTTTAAAAATATATTATATGTTAAAATAAAGTCACACAATAAAATATTTATTTAATTTTTTATAAAATTTTATAAAATTGATACATTTAATAAAAAAATTTAAATTAACAATTGAATCGACTAATATTTATTTTATAAAAAATATTAAATAGCATAAAGTAAATTTAATATTTGATATCAACAAATCTTAGCTTTTTACATATATATGTAATTTTTAATATTTTATATGATAATTTTTAAATGATGGTTCTTTATTCTAGAACCATATTTATAATTTTTTTAATTCATAAAAATATATTTCAATTAATAAATTATGAAAATAACTAGGTATATGGGTGGAGCCTATGTGTACTTAGATATGGAAAAATGTTAAACTTTGTTAGATTTTGTATAAATAAATTTGATTTATTTAATAAATTTAAAGCTTAAGTCTAACATAATCTATTTTTTTTCATATTAACAACTTTTTTATTGGTTAACAAATTATTATTTTTCTTTTACAAGAATCATCAAACCATGTTGCTTGAACAAAGATAGGACAAGGTAAACCAAAGAGAACATAAGTTGGTTCAACTAACACTGACCATGAACCATAAACATCAATCCTCACTACAAGTCAATCTGAACATGTGGTTGTCAACCCAATTGCCAATCAATTTGAACTAATTAGCTTAGTTTAGTTTTACTAAGGCTCTATTATTTTGGATGTACTCATGTCACAAAATGTACAAAATAGCATGATCTTATTTTAGATGTACTTATGTCACAATATGTACAGAATAATATACTCTTAATTTGGATGTACTTATATCAAAGGATTACAAAATAGTATACTCTTTCATGACAACATACATTAACAACAAAAAAATGATGACTTATGAAAACTCAACTATATAAGATTAGATAAAATCCATCTTTTGGTCTTCTCAGATGAAAGCTTTCTTTCTAACTTTATAATCTTATGCACATAATATTTAATAATTGTTGCAACCTCATTTGAATACATGTATTTCACTCTCTTAGAAACTCCTGTATTAGCCCATTTAAAGTAGTTACAAAACTTCCTCAACTGCACATCACACACACCCAAAATAAAATTACAAAAAGATGAACAATAAAGTACTATGTTGATAAAAGATATTTCTATTACTTATTTCTAATTCAAACATTTCCAAAATGCCCTTCCAAGGTTGTTCTTGTTATTGTAATTTAGTAGTATCGTCATTTCTCCACAACCACATACATGTTGCCGTGAAAGCTTCGACATTACTGACTAAGATTTTAAAGTTCGCGAATTTGTTGCCATCAAATTGTATTTGAAGCTTTTATCTTTCTATTATCAACAAAGAAAAGATGACAAAATGAAGTAATAAAGATTAGGATTTTTTCACTATCTACTAAAAATACAAGACTACAAAGTTAAGTGCACAAATAGGATTTTTACATTTGTGTCAACTTTTTTTTATTTTTTTTTATTTTTTCATTTTATATTCATTTATACTTTACCTCAATAAATATAGTTTCACCTAAGCCACAGACATGAATTTGAGATTGTCAGGTAAAGTGTTGATTTATTTTTCTGTCAGTCAACTTAGCACTTAATAGAAGAAGTTTAACGTCACATGCTAAATCTTAATAAATTTTTTTATAAAAACAAATGTCCAATATTTATAGAGATTAATTACATATTTAAGCTTTATAATAATTATATAATTATACAAATAAAATATTTATTTTATTATAAAATTTAATATATTATATGTATAAAATTAAAATTCATGCAAAATAATCCTATGTACGTCGTAAATTTGAGTTTGATTTATAGAGTAATTTTTTCATAAGTTAAATGTAATGTTATCATAAATCTTTACTAAAATTGGTAACTTTTCCTAAATTTGTAGGAAAATAAATCTTTAATGAACTTAATATCTAGTAAACTCAAGTAGATTCTAGCTTTAGTTAGATGAGATTAAAACTACAACGTTATCATAGGTGATCAAATTCTACAGGATTGAATAAATGTAATTTGGTTTACAGATTTATCGACATTATTAACTTGTTTTAAACAATTAAAATAATCTATAGACAAAGATGAGGCATTATTCTAAAATATATTTGTTATCTCTATATTTATTGCTTAACAGAAAGTGTGTATATATTTTGAAAAAAAATATAAATTGGCCAAATAATATAGAGAATATTCCTTGTATAAGCAATAAATAGAGAGATAACAAATATTTTTTTTTTCAAATGTCTCTTAATTATCTACAAGTTTTCACAAAAAATTGAAAATTGTAAAAAAATAAAAATAAAAATTTATAAACAAAGTATTTTACAAAATCATCTTAACAAATTTAAAATTTAAAAATGAAAATTAATAGATTAAATCACATAAAATAAATAAAAATACAAAATTTGGTTTCGACTCGTTTGCACGAGATTATAAATTTAAATTTCATTACCGTTATCTAAAAACAAATATGCGTATAATTAAAGTAATTATATCATTTTTAACGTATAAAACTTCCAGAAGGTGGATAATATAATTCATGGCCTTGTCCCCAAATACAATCAGAGTGGAGATTTATTTACATCCTCTTTTCTGCGAGAAAAAAATAAAATTAAAATTCTAGATTCAAGATCCTAAAATGTGGCAATCCCAAAAAAATATCAAGATAACGAAAAAAGTTATTATGCCAAATAAACTCAACTGGAATTTCATTATTTATTCCGGTGAGTATTTCAACACGTTAAAAATATTATAAACATGAATTTAATTATAAGTTATAATTAATAGTGTTAAAATAAATATAAATTCATATTTATATGTTATAATTTTTGTTAACTTCAACATTTAAAACTGATTTTAAATATTTAAAATTTATATTTTTATGAAAAAAATGTTTATCACACTGTTATGTTTCTAATGTAATAAATATTTTTCATCAATTAAAATTTATCATTTTTAATTATTTAAAAATAATTTTAAAAGCCAAGATTGATATTTTTATTTTTAAAATAGTTATTAAAACTATATTTTGCAAAGTTGGAAAGAATGTATGCACAATGTATTTAAATAATAAAAAATTATCATTACACAATTCATTATCCGCCAACTTATAGACAGATAGATATATATGTGAATACAAAACGTGTGTAATTAAACATTTACCATTTATAATTCCCAAACAATTTAAATTTATTTGCTCACGAATTAAAGAAAACTACCAGTGAGTACCGAAAAGAAGAAAGACTAAAACAATTTTACCTGAAAAGAATATTTGCCATTTTCCTTGCCATCTCACTTCCTTCAAAAGCCAGACGACCAGCAACCCATACAAAATGACTCCAAAATAAGTATAATAAAATTCAAATTTAAATCTTTTGGTATTTTAAGTAACATAATATAAACATACTTTTAATATATTATTTAATATAATAACATAAGAAAACAAAAATAAAATAGACTTTTTTCATATCAGTGCTGATGATGAATGAATGATGATGTTAATAATGATCAATGGTGACTAGCCATGCGGCTAAAATTAAATCCAACTGAACGAGTCACATGGCAAGGTTTTTCCCCTCTCAAAAAATAAAATAAAATAAAATAGTGATGATCCATATATCTTCCCGTCAACACCACGACCTCTTCTCTTCAATCACACGGCCATAAACCCCTCATCAAAACGCACTGTCTGATCTACATCAAACGCTTCGTATCGAATCCCAATTCCATTCGCCATCTCGCATCACTCGTATATATTACACTCCCAAACAACAAACTCAAATAAAAAAGCTTCATTGTGACCTGCAAACTCCACTCTCTCTCCTATTTCAATTTATTTTTTCTTCTAATTTTCTCTCTCACTTACCAAGACAACAAAACAAAAGCCTTCCACGTTTCCGAGTTTTTTTTTTTTTAGTTTCTTTTTGAACAAGTTCAGTTATAACTACGGTTCCGCCACCGCGTGCGCGGCCTGAGATGTTGCCGGCGTCACCCGGAGCAACAACCATCGTGGTGACAATCTCGCGCTACAGGTGGATTCAGTAGTGAGAGTTCGGAATCAAGATCGTACGGTAGAGATTGAGCCACGTGGGTCCCACCAACGATGGAAGCTCCGAAGAAGAAAACGAGCCAAACCAAACTAACCCGAACCCAATCCTCGCTCCTTCGCTGTTCCTCTCCCACCACGCGATCCTCCGTTCACAGCCTTTCTTCGGTCAACGAAGACTTCTTCAGCGAAGAAGAGGAATCTCAGAAGAAGAGAAAGAAGCCCAAGCCAATTAAACCCGGTTCGATCCGGTTCGTCACTGGACCGGTTCTTGGCTTCTTCACCGCGGGCTCGGTTTTTTCCTACTTCTTCTTCTTCTACCTCGGGACGCGAACTTCACCCTCTTCTGAAAACGTGTTGGTGGTGTTGGTTTTCCTCGCCGTGGCGCTTTACTTTGTGAACCGGAACAAGGGTCTGATCCAGCGAACCGTTTCGGTTTTGAAGCATTCATGGGATGGGAACTTGAAAAGGCTCGGTTTTTCGTCAAAGGGTAGTGAGAAACCGGTTCAGTGGTTCATAGGGGATGCAACCGGTTCAGTGGGGAGAGGAGAGAGTAAGAGTAAGAATAGTAGTAAGAGGGTTGCGAAAGAAGGGGTTGAGTTTTATAGTAATGGGGATTTTTACGAAGGGGAATTTCATGAAGGGAAGTGTAATGGGAGTGGGGTTTATCACTACTATGTGAGTGGGAGGTATGAGGGTGATTGGGTTGATGGAAGATATGATGGGTATGGGATTGAAAGCTGGGCTAGAGGTAGCCGCTATAAGGGGTGTTATAGGCAAGGTTTGAGGCATGGTTTTGGGGTTTATAAGTTCTATACTGGGGATACTTATGCTGGGGAATGGTGTAATGGACAGAGCCATGGTGTGGGAGTGCAGTCATGTTCTGATGGAAGTTGTTATGTTGGGGAGTTTAAGTATGGTGTGAAGCATGGACTCGGATGTTACCATTTCAGGTTTGTTTCTCTTGTTTCCTTGGCCTTGAAGATTTCTTCTTTGTTCAATGAAATGGGGTGTTTTGTTTTGAAAATTCAATTTTCGTCAAAGGAAAACAAGAAGTAGAAAAACTTTACTCTTCAGTTTACTGTATTAATTTGGCAATCTTTTTTTTTTATTTCTGAATGGTCTTTTGGGTGTACAGTTTTTAACCCGTGAGGATAGAACAGTAGATTTTAGTGTTAATTTTTTTATTGGTTTTTGTTGTCCATGTTTTTCCGATTTTGTATGGTTGAAGAATCTTTTGGTGGTTGTCCCTGTAATTGGCTTTCTTTTAGATTTGTGAATGAGGCTTTTTGGAGTATCAAGTTTAGCCATTTTTTAATCTTCCTATGTGCTGTTTGTCAATGAATTTAATTGTGTGTTGAAAACCTCAAATTTGTATGTCCACGTTGTTGAATTTTCCTGTATATCCAATGTTTTTCAACGGTACATGGTTTGACAAGTTGAATGATAAAGTGATTCTTTCTTTTTTCAAGTTCTTCTTAACAGTTTGTGATATTAAGTGTACCTATAATAGTTGTATCGCGAAGTTTCTCTTCTGGTAAAACCTGTTGTTATTACATGGAAAGCTATTGTAGACTATAACCTGTTCTGGATTTTAGGTACTTTTACCAAATAAACTCACTTTTTGTTACATTTTGATGTAGAAATGGAGATAGATATGCAGGTGAGTATTTTGGAGACAAAATACATGGATTTGGGGTCTACCACTTTGCCAATGGCCACTGTTATGAAGGAGCATGGCATGAAGGTCGTAGACAAGGTTATGGTGTGTATACTTTTAGAAGTGGTGAACGAAGATGTGGTGAATGGGATACTGGCAACCTCAAGCACTCTCTTCCACCACTAAATGATTCTATCCTTCGAGCAGTTCAGGTATTTGTCATTATTCATTAACATTCACGTTCTTTTGGCCTAAGATTGTAACTGGTTACTTAAATCTCTTTAATATCTGACATATAAAATCCTTAACCTTAACTCTGGTAAACGTGAGTTTTATAAAGTTGGAATTAGTGGTTTTGAAAACACCTTAAAATACTTGTCTTACAACAAGTAGTTCAACCATGAATCCAAACGTGCTATTACACTTACAATCTTAGACAAGTCATGATTGTTTTCTTCCTATAATCTCTTTAGAAAAATGATGGTGCTGTTCTGATGAATGTTTGTTCCCTTTGGGGGGTTTAAATTGCAGGCTGCTAGAAAAACAGCAGAAAATGCTATAAATCTTCCGCGGAAGGATGAGCAAGTGAGCAAAGCAGTAATAGCTGCAAACAGGGCTGCCACTGCAGCTAGAGTTGCTGCAGTGAAAGCTGTTCAGAACCGAATGGGTGGAAAATTTTGCAATATTGATGTCTAAGAACTTAGATTTTAGCTAGCTTATGTTTGGAATTGTAAATTTTTACTAATTATATGTATTTGGAAGAAGATGCCACCCCGGTGAGCAAAAGCTCATTGGAGGTAGAAGAGTATGTTTTGATGTTTGTTTCACAACGCAACTTGTATATAAAACCCATGTATATCAATGAAAGATGCATTTTCAAGAGTGCTTTTGATGTTAGTAACTTTAGTTTAACGAGGTTGAGGAATCACTGAAGCTTCACAATACGTGTGGCTCATTGTGGTAACCAAAGTAGGAAACTTGCATGCTTGATCCCTCGAAATAAAGGCTATTCAACCTACCTTCTCTTTTTGGTCTTGAGAATGTAATCCTAAATTTGATTAGCTCGAGGACTAGCTCTTCTTTTTGGTAAGATTCCGGATTTTTTGCCTTTTTAGGGTTAATTTTAAAACAAAATACCAAAATAAGGCTTCATGTAAACATATTCCTGGTCTGGGGTGGGCGAGTGACGTGGCAAGAGAGTCGTCCACAACAGGGACGACACATATGATGACGTGATAAACTGTGAGAGTGTCGTCCCACCAGTAGCCGACACTCATGATAGTGTCGTCCCATTATTAGACGACACTCATGAGATATTGACACGTGTCGTTTAATGAAATTGTGTCGTCTATTTTTGGACAGTTTGAGTAGCGTCTATAACAAAGACGACTCCAGTGCCGGCCCACGATACCCGATTTTAATGTGACCAGGGGATAAAAATTTTGATATATTCTTTTATCCAACTTCAAATGTGTATAAATATGAAACTTTCATATTTTAACCATGAAGCTGAAGAACGAATAAGCTGCTGGAGAAGAAATTGTAACTAGATAGGTTGGAGAAGAAATTGCAAGAAGAGCAATAATAAGGTTAAATTTTTTTAAGTATTATAAATATATAATTTTGTTTATTGGCTATTAAGAATTTATATTTCGAATAATAATATTTATTTTATATTTGGATAATATTTTAAGTGTTAATGTTGTAATATAAATTTTTTTAAGTATTAAAAAAAATTTAAATATTTGTAATTACAAATTAATTTTTAAATATAATTTTATTATATTATAAATTTGACTTATTTGTAATGCAAGATGAATGAAATTGTTGTTATATTATATTCAAATAGTAGAATATATGAAGGAAATGAGGATATAATTTTTGAAGGAGAGAAAAAAATGATTAAGATAAAACGTGACATCATTGAGCAACACGTGTCAACATCTCATGAGTGTCGTCTAATAATGGGACGACACTGTCATGAGTGTCGGCTACTGGTGAGACGACACTCTCACAGTTTGCCACGTCATCATATGTGTCGTCCCTGATCTGGACGATTCTCTTGCCACGTCACCCCCTAACCCCAGACTGGGAATAGGTTTACATGAAGCCCTATTTTGGTAATTTTTTTAAAATTTAACCCTAAAAGGGCAAAAAAGCCTAAGATTCCAGCATGAAAAATTTTAAATTCTTTTATCTTTTATATAGTTCTATTAGTTTCAGTTCATAAGATTGGTTGAATTAAAACATTTAAAACTGAAACTTTTATTAAAAAAATATTTATTACATTGGAGATATAAAATTGTAACATACTTTTTAAATAAATTCTGTTTCTTTAAAATTCTTAAATTTCTTAAGGTTAAGAGTAACAAAATTATTTTTTTACATGATAAAATTTAAGTTTTTTAGATATTGATAAAAAAAATCTGAGTTTTACTTCAATAATTTATATAATATTGAATATAATTTTTTATAAAAATAATTTAAGTGTAATATTATAAATATTATGGGTACTGTTCTCCAATTAAACTTAATTTTATTTTGAAAATTTATATACTAAGAAATTTAATCAGTAATGATTAGTAAACAACACTACTAATATTTAGAAAATAACATATAAGTTTTATTTTTTTATATCAATAATTTTTATTAAACACAGAATATATTAAGTGTTTTTATATTTATAAGATAACAAACATACAATTTATTTATTTAATACATAAAGCAGGAAGAAGATTAGGAGAAAGATTTACATGGGGAAATAGTAAAATTTTTGAAGCATAAGCTATCAGTGTTAAATAAAGAGGGACATTGATACGTGAAAAATGAGGGTGGTGGAAGATTGGGTTGACCCTTATGAGCAAAGAAAAGTGGAGAGGAGCTTCACCCATTCTGAAATTACACCCAAACTATTGACAGGAATAAACACAGAGGGGTGATGAGTGTGGGCAGCATAAGACTCAGATTTTGGCCAACAACTCCCAATAAAGGGTCAATGCCACCACCCCCTCACTATAAATCCTGTCTGCCTCTTTACCCATAAGTCGGTTGCATGTTGTTCCAGATTTTATCATCAGACAAACCGCCATTATATTTAGGTTAAATTATTTTCTAGGTCATTAAATAGTTAAGAAAATTATAAATAATTTACAATGAGATATTTGATGCTAAGAGTTTTGTTATTTTTATTAGTCAAAGAATTTAAAGCTTCAATAGTGTTCTACAAATTTCAATATTGTTGCAACGCACCTTTTATAACATCATTGTCAACATAGGCTCTATCTAATCAACTATTTCTAATGATAGCTTTAATACCATCAATAATTAAGATAATATTAACATTATTCTATCGCAACAACTTTAATACTACCAAAATTGTATCTTTTGTATTTTTCTATCATATCTATTAAGCGAATTTTCTTTGAAAATGAAGGGAACTTGTTTTTGGGTACAAAAATGAAGGCGACTTTGATATTGTCGTTATGTCAACATCACAGTTCATAAATACTATGGACTCTGGTTTTTGGGCACTTTAAATTAACAACCTCGATCCCACCATTTATTACACGTTTTTGTTTGTTGATATTTTTTACTGTGTCAATTAATAAAAAAAAAATTTAATACCTACATACAGACATTATGATCGCATTACATATGAAATAAGAATCCATGTGATTCTCTCTCCACATGAACATTTCATGCAGGACAAATATACGAATTCTTTAATTTTTTTAATTTAAGCCGAAGGCACATGATACAGTGGTGGGTGAGGTCTTTCTCTTTTTTATCGAGTAAAACGAAAATGAGATTGACTTTTCAACCATGAACAATCATCTATAATTCTAGTTTCATCCAATCTAAAAAAATAATGTGAATTGCTTTTCTTTTTTCCCTCCAATAACTATTGTGTTACCAGGTTAATTTTATTAAGATGTGTGATTTTTTTTTCATGAAGTAATATTATGGATTTGACTCTTTTAAACTAACAGGAACTCTTTGAAAAGAATACAAAACTACAAATAATAACAATTGATTTTCTAGCTAGTTAATGAATGTAATGATAATAAAATAATAAGCACTTATATTTATCTATCTATAAAATTGTGGAATTGTTAAAATTTACTTAGTTATAAAGGAGTCAAGTTCTAATTGCATTTGTAATTTTTGGTACCCATGATTCGAATCTCTTTTAGTTTAAACTCTCCTGTACAACTACCCCACATGCATCTAATAAAAAATGTGTATGAAAAAACATGCATATCAGAAAAAGGTTCAAAAAGGAAAGGTGACAGTTCTGTAGGTTATTAGGATGCGGATGGCGATATTCTAATGAAAGGGGTTTTAGGTACCTTTTGACTTGAACTTTAATGTTTTGGATGGCTTCAAACTCCGAAGGACCTCGCTCAACAGGAATTATTACGTATTTAAGGTTTTAGTTAATTGTTATGTAACAGTACATCTCGTGGGTTTATAACGTTTAGGATTAGAATTACGCATAATTTAAAAAATATTTATGAGAATCATTACTTTTTATTTAAATTATATATTAATATTATTATTAATTTAACTAATCAATTGAATTTGGGTTTAAATTGCCGATTATACCGGATTGGTTGCCATGGCAGGGTTCAAGTTCTGAACAGTATGACTGCACCTAATACTAATAAATAAACATGTTCTGGTCAAAGTTTCTTGAAGAGTTCTCATAAAATATTTCCACTGAAAACTAAGCAGTGGTGCCAGTGTTGCAGAAAACTAACACGAAACGAGGCAATGAGTGGAGGAATATTTAATTCACATGCATGATATACTTATTAAGTTTGACGAATCGTTAGGAAGTTCCTCAAATAACTGTACTATTAGATTTTGTCTATTATGGTCCATGTTAAAAGTTGTTCCCATGATTCATGATTATTAACAAAATGGTTTTAAAAATTGGAATGAAATTTTCACTTGAACGGGTTAATTTTAATTTCTAACATTTTACAAAATGATCTCAATTGTGTGTATTAGACGAGGCAATCAATGACCTAATTAAGCACGATGGTGAAGCACTTTCACTGTCACTACCATACTGCCGCATTCTTCACTAAGTCAATTAGTAACGAAATACACATTATCTGTTTAATAAACCACTCCTGTTTAGAAAAACTCTCAATGTTATCTTTATTTTATTTTATGTTTTATTAATTATGTGATTTTTATTTTAACTTGGTTTAACGTGATCTATATTTTATGAAGTATCTTAAGAAGTAATGACTATTTTATGTTTGTGTTATGTTCTCTCAAGCTTTGCTTATCATGTATCTGTATCATAAGTAAATAATACTAAAATAAATTGAACTTGTTTTCATGAACTTTGCTTAGTGCTAATAATTATAATCAAGAGTCTCTGATGTGTTTTAAGGAATTATGAAAAAAATTAAAGAAAAAAATACCTTTAGAAAAATAGATAAGAACTTATTAAGAGAGAACATAAAAACTCAACTATTTTTATGACTTTAAATAATATTTCTCTATCAACACCTCTTATATTTATATAAAAGAAATGTCAAAATTTGGGCTTAAAGATAAGAGCTCAATTGAGGGCTTACAATCTATGAGGAAAGTAGTGAAAATTGGTATAAAGACTTTATGAGAATATTTTATTTAGATATAACAAAAGAAGTTTGAGGAGGAATTTTTTTTGAAATGAAAATCCCACACATATATAGATTCTTAACTTTAAAAAAGAGTTTAAAGCCTTGAAGATAAATGAGACTAAAACTATAAAAGACTTCATAACTTAGATTATGAAGGTTCTAAACTGTATCAAGTTGATGAGAAAAGAACTTTCAAAAAATTGTTGAAAAAGTCTTAAAACATGCTCTCAGTTATTTGCTTTAAAAGTTTA